GAGATAAGAAGCCATCTAGCTAATAACTATGGACCCGAAGGTCTGAGGTAAACTACTCACACTTCATCGGAGAGGCTATGGTGTTGATGTAGAAGGCCTCCATGATCGATTCCCCCTCTGACGAAGCGCCGGAAAAGGCCCCAAGATGGGATCTCACGGGTACAGAAGGTTGCGGCGGTGGAAATAGGGTTTCGTGGTGCTCTCGGATGTTTTCAGGGTACATGAGTATATATAGGCGAAAGAAGTCGGTCAGGGGAGCCACGAGGGGCCCATGAGGGTGGGGGGTGCGCCTACCCCTTGGGCGCGCCCTCCTGCCTCGTGGACTCCTTGTTTCTTTCTTGACGTCCACTCCAAGTCTCATGGATTGCATTTGTTCCAAAAATGACTCTCCCGAAGGCTTCATTCCGTTTGGACTACGTTTGATATTCCTTTTCTACGAAACACTGAAATAGGCAAAAAAACTGCAATTTGCACTGGACCTCCGGTTAATAGGTTAGTCCCAAAAATAGTATAAAAGTGTATAATAAAGCCCATTACACATCCAAAACAGATAATATAATAGCATGTAACAATCAAAAATTATAGATATGTTGAAGACGTATCAAGGACGCTCAGGCGGCTCTGGCAGAAGCTACAGCCGCGGCAAAGGCCAGGGAGGCCACCGCGGCGTCCAATCTAGCCCAGGACACGGTTGGGGCTGTGCCTGGCGCCACGCTTATGTTATCGTCCGGTGGAGAGACCGAAGCTAGGGAGGTGGACGCGACCCCCTCCACCAGCCGTGCCCCAGCTAAGAAAAGAGTGGCAAAACCGATGGCATCTAGAGGGGTGCGTCTACGCAACCGTATTATCTGATGCGCTATCTTTTCTGGAGCATTCGGGGTTGCGGTCACTCGCGCAGACGCACCGAGCTTAGAGAATACATTGCCCATGAACAAATAGATATTGTGGCGCTTCAAGAGATGATCAAAATGGACTTCACCTTTAGAGAGCTCACGGCTTTCGATCCCCTTCAACGTTTTCTGTGGGGTTGGGTCCCTTCCAACGGTCATTCGGGTGGGCTTCTCTTGTGCTGTAATTGTGATGTATGTGATGTGTTAAGTTGGGACACTGGCTCTTTCTTTATTGCGGCTACAATCAAACACCGTATTTCCTTAGCTACGTGGGTGATTGTGTGTGTTTACGGCCCAGCTGATCACTCGCGCTCGCTGGACTTTTTGAGAGAAATCTAAGTCTTGGTTGGGACCAAGCAAGCCGCCAACATTGGTTGGGACCAAGCAAGCCGCCAACATCCTCATCGTTCTTGGGGGTGACTTCAACCTCATCCACTTGGGTGCAGATAAAAATAACCAGAATATTGATTGGCCAAGGGTGGCCATGTTCAATAACGCCATTGCGGCTTCCGCCCTGCGGAAGATCGCCAGAACCGATGCTAGATTTACATGGACCAACAAGTAGTTAGCTCTAGTGCGCGGTGTGCTTGATCACATTTTCGTTACGTCCGATTGGGAATTTCTTTTTCCTCTTTGTACGCTAGTTGCAGAAACCCGTATAGGATCGGATCATGTCCCGCTCATCTTGGCCTCCGGGGAGGACATGATCAAACGCAGCCGGCGTTTCTTCTTTGAAACTGGCTGGTTCGAGGTGGACAGGTTTATCCCGTTGATCATCGCTCGTTGGGAGCTAGCGATGGTCGCGGCCTGGTACCAAAGGGCCAATGGATCTATGGATCTCGGCGGCTGGCACCTTGCGCAGTTTCCTCCGTGGCTGGGGGGCCAACCACGGCAGCGAGTCGAAGAGAGCTAGGGAAGCCCTCATAGACGAAATCAAAACCCTTGACACCCTGGCAGACTCTAGGGCCTTTTCAGAGGCCGAATGGGCTAATCGATATGCCCTCGAGAACCAGGTGCTTTCCATCCTCAGGGAAGAGGAGGAATATTGGTAGCGTCGGGGCGGCGTCAAATGGATAACCAAGGGTGACGCCAACACGGGCTATTTCCATGCCTATGCTAATGGGCGTAAAAGGAAATGCTCGATTATGCGTCTGCAATCTGAGCAAGGGGTGCTTGTGAGCCAAGCGGATATTACGGCTCACATTTATGAGTTCTTCCTCAATCTGTTGGGAACAGCGGAGGAGAAACGCTTGCGCCTCCGAGCTGACTTTTGGGGGGACGAAGCTCGTGTTTCTCAGGCCGAAAACGATGCCCTTGCCCTGTCCTTCTCCATGAAGGATGGCGATAGGGCCATTGGATTAATGAAGACCGACACAGCCCCTGTCTCGGATGGCTGGCCGGTGGCTTTCTTCCGACGATTTTGGCCCATGCTCAAATCGCATTTTTACCATATCATTAATGGATTTGCGCTAGGCGCGGTAGACATCTCGCGCCTCAACTTTGGGGTCATTAGTTTAATTCCAAGGTCAAAGGGGCGGACTCCATTAAACAATACCGGCCTATCACCCTTATTAACGTGCCTTTCAAAATTTGTGCTAAAGCATATACGACGCGGCTGGCCCCGGTGGCACATAGAATCATCAGCCGCAGGTAGTCGGCTTTTCTCAAGGGGCGTAATATCCTCGAGGGTCCAGTAGTCCTACAGGAGATTGTCCATGAGCTCAAACGAACTCGGCAACCAGCCGTGCTCCTCAAGCTGGACTTCAAAACAGCATATGACCGAGTGAACTGGGAGTTCATTCACGAGGTCCTCGTCTGTAAGGGCTTCGAGTCAGGCTTTGTTCATCGTGTGATGCAGCTGGTCTCGGGGGGCCAGACGACGGTGTCGATAAATGGAGAAGTTGGGAACTTCTTCCGCAACAAGAGAGGGCTTAGGCAGGGTGAACCCTCCTTCCCTCTAATCTTTAATTTTGTTGCAGATGCCCTCTCGGCCATGATTTCCAAGGCGAAGGGCGCCGGCCACATCCGCGGTGTTGTTTCCCACCTCACACCCCGGAGGGGTCACACACCTCCAATACGCGGACGATACCATGCTGCTTTTTGAGCCGGACGATCACAGTATTGCCTCGATTAAGCTCATACTACTGGCCTTCGAGATCGTCTCCGGCCTCAAGATTAATTTCCTAAAAAAGTGAGGTCATAGCCATTGGGATGGCCGCACCTCTAGCTTTGTGTGTTGCCAACCTGTTGAAATGTAAGCTTGGGAGATTCCCGTTTAAATACTTGGGCCTCCCCATCTCTGACAAACACATTTCTATCCAAGAGTGGGATCCCCTGTACGGCAAGGTGGTGAACCGGGTCAGCCCTTGGCGCGGTCGGTTCATGTCCTCGGCTGCTAGGCTCATCCTGACGAATACTAGCCTCTCCTCGCTTCCCATGTTTACCATGGGCATGTTCCTCCTAGCAGACGGTGGCCATGCCAAGCTTGACACCCCCCGATCCAAGTTCTTTTGGGAAGGAACTGGATCCAAAAAGAAGTACCACTTAGTAAAGTGGGGAGCGATATGTAGGCCTAATAAATATGGCGGCCTTGGGATTATAAACTCCAAACTTATGAACGTAGCCCTTCTCTCAAAGTGGCTTTGGAAACTCGCCCAAAATGAGCAGGGGCTCTGGGCGGATATCCTTCGAGCAAAATATTTCCCCGACGGGAATTTCCTTACCTCCAAGGCCAAGGGGTCGACGTTCTGGAATGGGATCCAAGCTGTCAAACCGGCCTTCGCGCTTGGAGCTAAGCTTTGCGTTAATGACGGCAGATCCACGCGATTATGGTTAGACCACTGGTTCGGTCAGGAACCATTGTGGTGCAGCCACCCATCCTTATACCAACTCGCTACCAACATAGATATCCTCATGGCTGATGCGCGTAGCACCAACCCGCCATCCATTTCTTTCAAAAGGCCTCTTTCTGACGCTGAACGTGTTGGTTGGGACGAGCTACGCAACGAGCTTGCGGTAGTGCCATTGCGCCCCGAGGTCGATACGGTCTTTTGGTCCCTCACGAGCTCCCGGAAATTCTCGGTTAAGTCCCTATACAATAAACTGATGGAGGGCCCGACATTGGACATAGCTAGGGGTTATGGAAAGTGACCACACCCCCTCAAAATTAACATCTTCCTTTGGCAAATGTTCCACGACCGACTCCTGTCCTCTAATAACATAGCAAAACGGAACGGGACGTCCGATGGCAATTGTGTGATGTGTGGTGCGCACGAGGATGCAAACCATATCTTCTTCAATTGCCATCTCGCTCGCTTCGCTTGGAGTGCGGTCCGGGAGGCCTTCGATCAAAATTGGAACCCCCACTCGAGTAGTGACCTCCGTGGCATACTTCTGGCCCATAGGGGTGGGTTCGGTAGAGTGCTTTGGAGATGCGTAGGGGTGCTGTTATGGGCTCTATGGACAACTAGAAACAAAATCACCATAGAACATAAATTTCCCTCTCACCCCGCTGACATTGTTTTCAAATGCCATATGCTCCTCCAGACTTTGATGCCGTTGGGGAAACGGCGGGACGCTGAGCGGATGCAGGAGGCGATGGAGCGGATTCGACTGATCCAGATTGCGGCGCGCCACTAGAAGTCAATGTTCGTTCCTCTCTTTGCCGGTGTTGGCATGTCTAGACTTTTGCCTTATCTCTCTCAGGCCTAGGCCGGTTGCATGTTAAACTTTGGCTACGGCCTTTTTCATTTCCTTTCGTTTAAGACTGTATTGTCTGTTGGATGCTGCCTGTTTGAGGGCTTTATTAAGTTATAAAGTTGGACGCTTCTTGCGTCTTCGTTCTAAAAAAATACTCCAGTTATAGATGCTTGACCATTTTGCCCATGTGCACCCGAACACAAAATAAGGCCCAGTTCTTTTGCCAGAAGGAGAATCCGCAGATTCTGGGAGAATCCCCAGATTCCGGTAAAAGAACTGGGCTTAAGTTCCGGCCGCACCAATCCCTTCACACGAGTCACAACTCACAGCGAGCCACAAGTCCCGACCTCTACCTCTCTCCGATCCCCGCCGGCGCCGCTCACAGCCCCGGCCCGGAATCCTGCCGGCGGCATGCCGCGCGGCCGCGACGAGCCGGCCGCCGTGCGCGTCTACACAGTATGCGACGAGTCCAAGTACCATTCCCCAGCCCTAACCCAGCATCTCTTCCTCCGCAGCACTGCCGCTAATCCAATCCTTCCCCCTCCCCACTCGCCCCGGACCCCAAACCAACCGCAGGTACCTCATCGTCCGGAACGTGCCTTCTCTCGGGTGCGGCGACGAGCTCGGCACCCTGTTCTCGTCGTACGGGCCGCTGGAAGAGTGAGCCATCCTTCAGCGACCTGAAAATTCACTTATTCCTTCATGCCAACGTTCTGTGTTCAGTATCTCCCGAGTTTCGCTCTCACCATTTTCATCCTCCTTCCTGAGTGATGTGTTTTTGTTTTGGTTCAGGTGCAAGCCCATGGATGCCGAGGACTGCGAGGAGTACACCGACGTCTTCTTCATCAACTTCTCGCAGCTCAGCAACGCGAGGTGACTAATATCTTTTTCGTTCGGGTGCAGCACTTTTTGCTCCTCTGTGGTGAATTGGTCACCAATTGGCATCTATTGTTTACCGTTCTAGTCTTGTGTCTGTGGGCATGGTTTATTTGCTCCTTTTTAGCTGTATTCTCTGCTACCGCTCCCTCTGTAAACTAATGTAAGACGTTTTTACGGTTCAAAATTGAACTGCAAAAACGTCTTATATTAGTGTACGGAGGTTGCATTATTTATCTGATGGTTAGGCAGTAATGTTTCTGAATATGTACTGAAGGATGTAAGTAGCATGTTGAATTTGTTGGACTGTCAGTGTTTCGTGCTTATGCGATTGAGTGACAAAAACAAACAGAGCCTTATTATTCAGCATAATTGATGGAATGAACTGAGGAAAGGTGACTTGGGTAGGCATTCCAGAAACAAAATTTAATAAGATACTAGTATACTTTGATGCCAGTATGTGTGCCTTTACTTGTGAATTTGGGATTACCAAGATGTTAATCAAAGGAAGCTAATGGTTTGGTTATTCCTTGGACCTTCTTTGAGGGCATGCTTTTTAGTCAGGTATTCTGCTTCAGTCTTTGGCACTTAGGGTAGCAAATCTGGAGCCAATAGTTTCACCAACCACCTGTTTCGTTTCTTTTCTTTCATTAAAATTCATACTTCCTAATATCTAATACTTCTTCAAGTGAGGAATTGGCGCTGTAATTTACTCATTTTGCAGGTTCGCAAAAAGGAAGTTAGATGAGTCTGTATTTCTTGGCAACCGGCTGCAGGTGTCATATGCACCTCAATTTGAGAGTATTTTGGATACCAAGGAGAAACTGGAAGTCCGGAGAAACGAAGTCCTCAGCCGAATAAGATGTATGCCATTTTTTACAAAGATATATCTTCGTCTTAGAATTTATTATTGTGATGACAGTATTTATTCCTTGGTACTTCAATGGCTTGATTTATATATTTGCTTGCTTCAGCCTCTGTTGGAAGCAGATCAGAACGGTTAACTCAGTATTCTCCAGGGCAGGGATCTTCTAGTGGGAACTTGCATCATCATATGAGCCCCAATAAGAGGTTATTATTTCACATGTTGTCATTTGTTTCCGCTCTTTATTTAGTTCTGCAGTGTACAAATGATAATTAAAAGTTGGTCAGAATTTGCTTGTCATATGATATTACATGCAGTTACTTCTTCCATCAAGTTTTTCTGGTCATGCTTTCCCTGAGCTTCTATGCATTTTCTTCTAGAACAATCAATGTGAATATTCAGACCTAGCAGTATCATCCAAACTCAAGATATGGATTCTTTTTTCTACGGAATAGATCATATGCAATCTTATTTTGTCTGAGGATTTGTACTACATCGCTTATACCTAATAAAAGGCTAGAGGTCCAGAAGAATACAGTGTGACTGTTCTCCGAGAAAAAGGTGAACACTTAGGTGACTGCTCGTCTAAAGACTCATCTTATCATCTTCAGGGAATACACAAAGACACTTCATGCTTCTCATATCGAAGATGTTCGTTTCAGTCATGTGTCCTCTAATAAGGTATGTAGTAGTAATACAATTTTCAGGCTGAAACCAAGTTGTCCATTGATGGAAATTGGGCCATTTGGTAAGCAGGCTAGATCGTGCTTTATGGGAATTTTATTTTTAGAAAAGCTAGGGAGAAGCTCTGGTCAACTAAGATGCATTACTGCTAGAAAGACAGCATTAGTGCGCTTGCTCATGCGAAGTACTCGGCGAGGGAAAAATCCGTAACTATTTGGAATTGTGGATATCCTGCTAGGTGCAATCTAGCTCAGCTCATTAGTGCAGCACGTCATCCATTAGGATTTTCCAACAAACCCCTTTTTACCTTTTCATGGCTTGTGATTTTCTTTCCTTTCATGAAATGCCTTTTGATCAGTTTGTGGTGGACATGCCTTTTGATCGCAGGACTATTTTCCATCCGAGTCGATGAATGCAACTGTAAATCTTGTGAGGCAGAAGCTTGATAAGGTAAAAGTATCTATGTGTTACTGTTATCTATCGCTTAACATGGAACAACGACATGGATAAGCTAAGAGTTTCATTTTTTTATTTTTTTTCAAAATAACAGATACAGTCTGGCAGTGATGGTTCCAATGCTGTAGCTGCGTCCAAGAAACCAAGGGTTGATGACCGTAGGCGCATTTGAATCACTGGATGGCGCGGAGCACAGCATAGGAATTATGGCTTACTCCACTTTGTAGGCTTCGCTGTGTGCATTTGATTCTTAGAACTGGCCAGCTGGGATTGTTGTGCCAGTCTTTTCTCTTTATGGAAATGCCTGATACAACTTTCTTACCTGATACTGAACTCGGTGTTTGAAAAGAAAGAAAAAGTCACTGAAAAATAACGAAGCAATGACGATGTGGTGAGGCATTCTAAACCAAACCAATTTTGATTATTCAGTTTCTTCCTGGATTAGAAACAACGATATTATAAAAATGACCGTCCAACATCCATGACCTGGGGTGAACTAAGCATATTAGGTTCATTGTGGTGGAACCAGACCACTTGGGTGTATGTTCTAGACTTGACACATATGCTCACATATCTTCTGAATTTATTTAGGCTTCTTCCTGCTATTCGTTTAGTGGTTCAGTGTGTACATCATCTACGAGATGTTTGTGGTGATTTCGTTAATCTCAAGATCTATTGGCCCAATCTCTAGAGATGTTCATAACGGAAAGTTACATGTGTGTGTTTATAGGGATGGGTGTATGTGTATGCTGTGATCGTCTGCGTGTAGTATTGTGTTTGTAAAAAAAAATCCATAGCCTGAGAGCTTACAGAAAAAAAAACACGCCAAGCAGCCAAGGCTAAAGCCCATGTCTCTCTATTATGGCCCACCTCGTAGGAGAGAAGCCAACTTGGGCCGAACAGAGCGTGTCCCCAGTGCGCAGGAGCCTCTCCTTCCTCCTGTCTCATCTGGCCCAGCCTTCCTCAGTATCCCAGAGGCCCCCAGACCTAGCGTGCCGCCGTTTAGCTCCACCGCCGCCGCCCGCGAACCGCTCCCCCCGACTAGCGACGCACCCGCCGACGTTCAGCCCGCCGCCTCAGTCTAACACACGCCTCTACCACCCAGTCGGCGACCGTCAACCCGCCGACCGCCAGCCATGGCAGAGGCCACCGAGAACGAGCACCACAACGACGAAGAGGAAGACATGGTCGGAGAGGGGGAAGGAGGCACCGGGAGCGAAGGCGAGGAGGTTGGAGTGGCCGGCAAGAAGAGGAAGCGGCGGCCTCTGAAGAAGAAGAGCGTGGACGGCTTGAGCAAGCGCGGGGTGTGCTACCTCAGCCGCGTCCCTCCCCACATGAACCCGTCGCACGTCCGCCAGATCTTCTCCAAGTACGGCGAAGTGCAGAGGATCTACCTCGTCCCCGAAGGTAATCCCCCGTCATGAACTGAATCGGTGGCTGCGTCCTGTATGTTTGATTTGTGATACGGTACCAAAGCTAGGAACACACAGAGCTGAAAGGAGACCTGATGTTTTTACCAAAGTTAATGCAATGATGTTAGCGAGTCTAGTCTAGAACGGAACTACTCAGCAGACGATATTCAGTAGCAGAACACCGGACCACGCTTGATCCAGCGGTCGGCCTCCATTTTGTGCCACACATGCACGGTTTGATCGGCAGAATCGTGCAAACATCGGCCGCACAGTGTCGTGTGTATAGCAGGAAAACCAAAGAGAACAAACCATATTTATCTGATATTGATGTCTCCCTTGGATGATCAAGGAGATGCGCGTAACCCCGTGCAGAGTTTTCTGCTGCAAATAACATGCCTCGATCTGTGTAGCAAGGCTGTATTTTGGTCGCAGAAGGCTGTTCATGGAGTTCTAGGTTGGTTTGTCTTGCTTGTATTTGTGAAAACATTCTTCATTTCTTCTAGGGGAAGGGGAAAATTGAAATAGAGCATGTCATCAAATGATAATCATGTTTTGCATGCTGATTGCACTTGTTGCTGCGGCAGTATACCATGCAGGCAGCGACAAATGAAAAGAACCCGACTTCTTATCTGTTATGTACTAATGTCATGTCTTTCCTACAGGTCAAGGTCATCGCAAGCATAGTAACGTTAAAGCGAAGGCTTACTCCGAAGGGTATGTTATGAAAAATAAACAGATGAGCTGCTTTGGAGAGACTTGCTAGATCTCGTTTTTTTCGGTTTTATGCTGAAAGTCAAACATGCACCAATATTTAGCATGTCTACTTATTACATTTCTGGAGTAGTCATTTAAACATACAGTATGGTGTGTAATATTTCACAATTTCGACATATTTTACTATTGTTGTATTTGTTACTTGTATGCCCTTAATACTGTTCCTAAAACCTTTGTAGGTGGGTTGAGTTTGCAAAGAAAAGCGTCGCCAAGAGGGTGGCTAATCTGCTTAATGGTGAACAAATAGGTTGTTCTTGGTTCTTTGTTTCATGTGTTTTATTCTTTCTATGTTAACGTTGGTTTATCTTAGATTTCATTAGTACTGAATATGGATGATCTGTTCTT